TCATTTCCACCAGATTAAATACCTTTTTTTTTTTGCCGAGGAAGATTAACCCTGAACTAACATCTATGCCAATCTTCCTCCACTTTGTATGTAGGTCGCCGCCACAGTCCAGCTGACGAGTGGTGTAGGTCCGCACCTGGGATCCAAACCTGTGAACCCAGGCTGCTGAAGCGGAGCATGCCAAACTTAACCACTAAGCCATGGGGCCGGCCCCTCAGATTAAATACTTTTAAATACTAATTATGTCTAATTCCTACCCAGTATTCTTTATGGACTCCTTTAAAAATCTCAAGAACAAAGTCCAAATTCCTTAGCCCAGTGTCTAAAGCTCTACCAAACCTGGGGCTAGCATAGACATACGCAAACATATTACTTCAACTATAGACAAACTGAACAACCCTGAACACGACTTGTGATTTCCTGACTCTTTTCAGACTGAATTCTGTCCCTCCCCCAGTCCCCTGATATGCCTATGAATTTCTGACTCCACTCATTCATTCAGCATATGTTTAGTGAGCAGCTATATGTTCTAGGCACAGAGGGAGGTAGGTGGTCCCTGCACTTAGAGCTTACAATATGGTACTATAATTGTGAAAGTACTGACCACTGTGGAAACAGTTACCAAAGGGGAAACAGTGTTACTGGATCACACTAGAAAGAGCTCACCTAGTTAAGAGAGTCAGGACAAGTCTCCCAGAGAAAGAGTCATGTAATCTATGTACCGAAAGATAAAAAGGAGCTACTAGGTGAAAAATGAGGGTAAAGCATTCTCAGGTGGGGAAACAGCATGCTGAGGACCACAAAGAGAGAACCCGTGGAAGACGACCAGTTTGGCCATGGCAGGGAGAATGCAAGGCAGAGCAGCCAGCGAGCTGGGGATGAGGGGATAGCAGATTGTGGATGGCATGGTATCCCAGGTCTAATGTCAGTATAAGAAGTATTTATCATCTGCCCGCTATCGGCCAGGTAACTGAGCCTTTAAGGATATTTAAGGCATGTCTTCTTGCCCTCCAGGAACTCACGTTCCTCTGTGGAGACTGATAGGTAAACCTGCAGTGGGATAAGAGCCAAACTAGATATATGTTCAAATAGCTCAAAGAATTATTAACCTTTTCTGGCAGTTTGGGAAAAGCTTCCTAGAGGAAGTATTGCCTGAGCAGGGATTTGAAAAATAAATATGAGTTCCCAAGCTGACAATGGCTTATCAGGCAAGGGACCGGCAAGCGCAAAATTACAGGGACACAAAAAACATCATGGCTTTTCCATGCAAGTCCTCCTTGATAGCCCAGAGAAGAAAGTGTTCTCATGTTCCTCAGAATTTAGGGCCCCTGCACCATGATGGAGTTAGTCTACAGGACGATAAGGGACCTGAACAAAAAGGCTTCATCCTCTTTTTTTTTATAAAGCACCAATGGAGCTTATCACAGTACTTTGCTTCAAGAAGGCCCTCGAAATCAGTAACTAAGTATTTGTAGAATAAACTGGCAACTATTTATTGAATTAAAATTAACTAAGCGATCTCTCATGCACAGAAGGAACAAGAGAGGAAATACGCTTTCCTACTCTGCTCGGGAGCCGGGAAGGAGACTGCATAAGAGGGAAGGGCTGGACAGCGAGATCCCCGAGACTCCAGGTTCACAAGGAGGGGAGAGCTCCAAACGGAGTGCCTGGGCCTCCCTCGTAAAAGAAGGCAACAGAAACGGGTGAGATGACACAACACATAAAGTACTCACCGTGAAAAATGTATAAGATTGAAAATTTTTTATTATTTTTAAAAATAGTCTATCTACCAATATTAAGATAATCAAGGCTTTGGCAGAGCTGATATCACTTCAGGGAGAGAACAGAGAATTTAATAGTTCACCTCTTCTTCTCCTTCCCCTATCTGAGCCCTGAGTTTAAGCAATCATTTAAATTAACTTCAAAATGTTCTTGCAGACATTACTAAACTCTGTCCATACCAATGAATTCCAATGATGTCATTGTTTCCATGGTAACTAATGCATTTCAAAAGGGGAAAAAACAGAGCAAGACTAAAAACCAGGAAAAAAATGAAATAAAGTAGTATAAACAAAGCATAACACTTCTCCTTTGCATTTATGGAACACTTTCTGATTTCAAATGCTTTATCATTACTTAGATTTCAAGGCTCTTAAGCACCAGAAGGATCTCAGAAGTCATCAAATCCACATCCCACTCATAGCCAGGGTTCCCTTTACAATGTAGCTGCACCGTGGTTATCCAAGTGCTTACACAGCTCATTGCTGGAAAGTTCTCACTCAGTCACTTGCAAAGATTACTAAGCACCTATCTTGTTCTGCAAGTTTAAGAGATGATTAAGATATGCTACCTTCTTTTAAAGTTTTTGCTGTTTAGAGGGCAAATAATTAAAAGTTAGGGGTGAAAAAAGAAGGCTATAATAAAGATACAGGATGATGCCAAAAAAGCAAACGTGGAGGGATTATGCATTTCCAATGACACTCATTTCCACTCCACTTCAGCCCCACACACCCAGGACCAACCACATCCTGGACCTCGTCATGACCCAGAACTGCTCCAACTCTGTAAACTTAAACTCCAACATTAACTTTCTGATCACAAACAGCTCTTTCACTCCCCAACTAATCCTGCACTAGTCCTATGAGCCTTATGCAGCCCAAGATCCTCCACGTGGACTACTTCCTCACAATACTTCCTCACTGATATCCTCAGCTTTTATCCTTCAGTGGCATCCATCTAGCAACAGCCTAACCTGGACTTAGTGACCACCCCTCTTCCCCATTGTTATGTTCCATGAGGATTCTCTGTCCTAGAGTTAGAGAAAACTCTGTCAGAGCAGTGATGAGATTGTTCGCCGCTTTACTTACAGAGCAGTAAGGGTCAAGTGCTGCAGGTAAGTGACAATAACATGAGGACTGAAAGTTGCTACAGATGATGAAGTTGGCAACTACAGTCATTAGGCCCCTAACTAACAAAGTGCACGTAAGACCTGCCCCACAGCCATGGTCACCCCAAATGACAGCATCAGTGTAAATGGTCCTTTGGAGTACAAAATGATAATTTACAGGGGGAAAAAATGAGAAAATGTTCTGGCTTCTGCTCTTTTTAAAACTTTTCCCTCAAGGATTTCATGATGCTTTTGATGAGCTGGACACATGCCTCCACCCTCATCTTACAGAATGAGAAGTTAAGCACTCACTTACATGCTGATAGAATGGCTATTATCCTGACCTTGAAGTGGCAGTAACAGATCATTAGGCCTGTTATCTAATTTCTGCCAGAAAGAAGGATTATGGGTTACTTGTTCTCATAATTTTTGGTAGATAGCCCTGTCTCTAACTTCTTGCTGATTTATATTTTAAAATCCCATATAAGCAACCTTATTTAGTTATCTGGGTAAGCATATCTACTTCTATCTAGTTGATCTTGGAGGGCACAATAGGAAGTCACATTGCTCAAACTAAGTGCTTTATGGAGACAGTTACCTGTCTAAGGCGCCCATTTGGTTACCATTGCTTTACAAGTTTTCCAAGCTAAAATTCACAACATAGAACACCATGATATTTCATTATCCACATATAAAAGCTGGCCCTCGAACACCTTCTGATCACAATTTAACCCCTGCTAATACGAATACCTCAGGAAGGTAAGCACACAGGCCTCATCCTTATCAGGCTCCTCAGTTTTCCTGAGAGAGTGCTGCTCTGATCCAGAGCTCCTTGGCTTGTTAATGCACACCACTCTGCACTAATGGGCAAAGGAGAAGAGGTACCTATCCAAGAGGAGTGTCTCCACTCCACTACTCCAATATTTCATACTTTTCAGAAGCTCCTGAGAGAAAAACACTGACGAAAGCTTCCCTGAGAGTCCATTCATTCTAATACATCATTGGATCTTATACTACGCCATAGTCTCACTGAAGAATTTAACGAAAGCTCTGAATTCTCTCCATACCAAAACAAATGCAAAGTGAACATATGAATGGGGGACTGGGGGCGGGGTGGAATGAGGGAGCGAGAGTCATGAGACCCCTGAAGCTAACCCATGGGCTAAAGTCTAAACAGCTCTGCTCTGGGCTCTAAAATCTAGCCCCGAATTAAGCAAGGCCACCAGAGAGCCATATAGATGGAAGCATCGTGGTGGCTTTGTACTGAAACTCTTGTTCTAAACCATCCTCTGCCACAAGCCCCCTTGCTTCTGCTGTGGCACGCTAGGAGGAAGGATGCTCTATTTATGGTAAAGAAGGTGATGAGAGTGTGTGTATTATATACAGGGTTTCTTTCTTCTCAGAACCTAGGGGAGACTTATGCCTCCCTGGACTCAGTTCTGCTTCTCTTGAGCATCAAGCTCTTTTTTTAACCTCGTGGAAATGGACAGTTTTATAACGGTCCTATGTTTCTTTCCCAGTGGCTGTTAGAAAATTCATGGCATACTTCTAGCTTGTATTTAAGTCTCTTAATGGCATGAAATTTGTTTACAGACTTCACTTCTGACTCCATCTGATTTTAACTGTCCTTTGTCTTATTTTTATTATATTTTTCATTTGTTTTATTTTGCCATATTATATAGCAAATCCTTAGACACTTTATATGAAAACCCTACTTCATCTTTATGGTTACTTTAAAAACGCATATAGGTGCAAACATGTATACACGTTGTATTAATCAAGAAGAATCTAAAACATCTTTCAGGTATGAGTTTTCTGAAGAAATACTACCTCTCTCAAATACTTGCAGCTATCACTGACAAAAAAAAAAAACAAAACAAGAGTGTTTAGGAAGTTATTTAGGTAGATACACTTGAATAGATCACCGGTGGGAAAACAGGTGAAAAAGATGATTTTTTTCCTTCTGCCTCCTATTTAACTCATTTACAGTTTACCATCTTCTAAAGATTTCTGCCCAGAGCTAAACTAAAATTTGGATTGTATTTCTCAATGACTTGCTTCCTCAGTTACAAGTGTCTCGTATTTTTGCAACAGTGGAGCTGTAAATGCTTACAGGCACGTGGACTTTTCGAAACATCTCAGCACCCTTGTGTGCGTCCATCAGTGCAATGTCCTGGGGTGTGGAGACAATCACAGCACCTAATAAAAGAACACAGGAAAAAAGAACAGCAAAATGAAGCCATCATTTCATTCTTTATGGAAAAATTACTTTCAAAACAACGTTGCTTACATGCTAAAAGGGTCTACTACATTAACTATTTAGGTAATTTGTATAAATTTTACATACATGAATGAGAAAGATGAGGAAATGCCTACTTTGCTCTTGCCTATTTTTGGCTCCTCACTTCTAAAATTACAGCTTACTGACCAGTGATTCAAGATCACAGCCCTATCATCAGAACCTGCTTCCCATTCAGACAATGTGCTAGTTAGAGATGCACAAGGCAGGCCTTACTTTCAAGAAGCTACCAGTCTACTTGGGGAGGCCAAAAAATTAAGGATTACAACATAAAGTGCAAGCATTATAACAGAGGTGTGCCTAGGGTGTTATGGAGTTATAAAGGAGGAATAAAGGAAAGATAACTAATTCAATCTAGGGGAGAGGATGACAAAGGTGAGAATGGATGGGAGGAGAAAGCAGGAGATAAGGAAAAGCAATAGGGGAAAGTTTTTAGAAAGAGGTGATTCCTAAGCTGAGTCCTGAAAGTCGGTATTATAGAAAACTCACTAGTGTGAAAGGCACTGTGGAGAAAAGTTTGGTGGCAGTAAAACTAGGGGCTGTGACAGAAACTCAGATGCAAAACAGTGTTGGCCTGAACTAAGGCAGCACTGAAAGTAGGTGGAAGCTTTCCTGGTCTCCACTATTACCCTGCAGAAACCAGACGGTTCTATGATACAGTGTTTTGAGAGAAAGTACAGTGCAATTTTTTCTTTAAGTGAAAACACCAGAGGCCTGGTTATGATTTGCAGAATCTGTGAATTTCTTAAATTTTGTGGTTTCTTCTAGATGATAACCTGAAAAATAATTAACATAAACATATTCTAGATCACCTGGATGGCCATCATCTTATAACTAAATACACACTGCCATGACATTGCTTGCAGAGCCCCAAACTATCAAATTGGCACCAAGTGGCAGTACTTTATCACAGCTAATGAAAACAGAGGTAGGATTAACAATAAGCAACCAACTGTACCAAGTAAACGTCAAACGATACTACAGAGTATTGTCTCAAGGGATATTTTAAAGAAGTCGGAATAGAGAAAATTAGCAGCATACCCAAGTTATCACAAAGCATGTGGCGGCACAGGCAACACACGCTGCCAAACTGAAAAGAACCGTGCCACAAGAGTTAGGCACAAATTGATCTCGTGATCCATATTTTCATTTCAGCAAAAAACTTCATCCTTCACATTAAATCAATGTCTTTAATTTGGATTCTATTGATTTTGTAAGTTCTGCTTGTATTTAATTTGTAACTTTTTAACGTTTTTAAAAATTATTTAAGAGCTATAAGCTTAAGGAATTTATGTTTACACCTAGTTAAGTAGTCTTATAGTAAAAATAAGTCAACATGGGGTATGGGGTAGATTATTCTTCCTTTAGAAGGAGGGTCTATTCATTACTCAAGTTTGAGAAACACTACCTTTGGAATTCAAACAGAATCAGAATTCAAATTTTTATTCCATAGCCAACTACCTGTGTGACTAGGGTAGTCTCTGACTGCCCTACTACTAGGGTAATCTGAGACTCAGTTTCTTCATCTACAAAACAGTATATAATACGTAGGTCACAGGGTGAAATAATTAAATGAACTAAATGTACACAAGATGCTTGACATGAAGCCTGGACACAGGGTAAACATTCAATAAATGGTAGCTGTTATTGTTAATACCATCATCATTATCCTTATTATTGTTATTAATAAAACGTCTTAGAAGTTGCTGGGAAGGTCATTTTCATATTTGCCATCAGGCAGTTCATCCCGTTTTTCAAACTGTTCCATGGATTACTGTATCCCTCTATTTTGATGTACTCTGCCCAAGAAACCAAACACTAGTCAACAGTTCTCTTTCCCCTCTTTTAAAGATTGATGGAAATCAGATCTCTGCAAAAATTGTACTCAACTCAACTCTACACATCCAAATATTTCCACAATTTGCCACCTTCTAGGTTCTATTATCAATCTATTTCACTGTTTTTTCATATCCTAGCATTTGGAAGGGATCTAACTCCAATTTTGCCCCCACCTAGCTATGTGACTAACCTTGGGCACATAACTCAGAATCACCCTGGGTCTCAGTTTCCTTAGCCATAAAATTAATGCAAGGACTAGATAGTCTCCAAGGTCTCAGCTAGCTCTCTGATTATATGATTTAGCATTCCCTCTTAACTATAGTTCCAAAATCACCCCTGTTCAACCTGTCTAAGTAAACCCTATTTAAATGAATGTGAAATGCTACCTCTGCAATTATGGCCTCTCAATCTCAGAGCCATTCTCTTCACATGTCAACAAAACTCCCTTGGTTATTTCCTCCAAATTCTCTCCTTAACTATATACTAGTATATAGCGGGTTTTCTATTGCATTAGCCCTAAAAAGTATCTTTAGCTTTCATCTGATATAAACATTTTATTGTTTTAAATACCCTTTGTCTACAATTTGCATTACTACTACACAATATAGCTTCATGGACAGTTATGATTTTTCTCATTTTTTTAATCAAACAAAACTAATGACACAATGCCTTGCACAAAACAGGCACTTAATAAAGGATCAGCGTTTCAAACAATTTTCCTATATTTTCAAATCATCTATCCTAGACTACTGCTGCATGAACTCTTAGCTGGCAACTCCTTGAACTAGGAGTCAAGAGCTCTAGATTCTGGTTTTGTGGACTATCACAATGTACTATTTAACCTTGAATAGCTCACTAAATCTCAACACATCTCAATTAACTTCTCTATAAAATAAATCTCTTTCCATTGGTCCTGTTTAATTTAAAGAGCTGTGTCATTAAAAAAAAAAAAAACGAACATAAAAGTGTTATAAAAATGTTCAATGACATTATTTTTATAGCCATAAGATCCTAAAGAGAGGGATTAAGTGACTTGGTTTTCTCTGTGTTTAACCCTAACACAGTATCACAAATAAGCATCCATCCCATCTGAGTTTCTTTGTACAGTAATCTAAATAGCACAATTCACACATCAATTAAAAATAACTTTTTGACAAGGACAACAACCATCTTCCATGTCCCATAAAATGCTCACAAAATGTGTAAACATCCCATTTGAACTACCAGCTTCATTTATAAAAGATTTTTTGGTAAAGATTTTTTTAAAATATATGTTCTTAACTAATGACTAAGTCCTTAATCACAATGCAGGAAGTCTCTAGGACACTGTTCTGAGAAAAAAATTTCTAGCTGTTTGTAAAGAATACAAAAACATAACTGGCCCACACATAAATCACTACCTCTTTTTTTGTACCCAATTTTAGCACATCATGTAAGTAACCATTTCAGACAGCCCTACAGTCATCTTTAGTTTATGACAAGGAAATAAAGCAAACAAAAACCAAACAAACAAAACCTTCAGTAAAATTAAATTTAACCATTAATCAATCTGTGCATCACAACCCAGATTTTTTAATTTTAAAGGAATTACGTCCATTTTTTCTTGTTAATATATCTCAACTTAAAATATGGTTTCCAAATCTGATATTACATTTTATCTTTATGGTTCTTGGCTTTCTACTTAACACACTTTAATTTTTCTCAGGATTCATGGAACATGAACCAATATGAACTAGCCTAGATTTTTCCCCTTTATACCATCACTGATGATGTCACTGCAGTTGTGTGATGGAGGGTTTGTTAGAAAACTTGTGCTCCCTCTACTGACCATAGGAATGTCAGGAGCAACAAAGCGAATGTTTAGTTGGCAATAAATGGAATCATCTTCTGGAGGTATAGTATCATAAAACACCTATCTCAAGAATCCCTTGGAGAATTTTCTATCCATTTTCTAGAGTAAATGTCTAAGTCCAAACAGAATATTGTGCAAATGCTATTTCCCAAGTTGCAATCTTTTTAAAAGGCTTTTTATTGGCTGAGATTACTATAAAAGGTTAATTGTCTGGCAGATTCTGGAAAATATATAAACATCCTAAAAAATAATCATTTAGAGTATTGTCTTAATTGCTAATTCTCTTGAGTATTAAGAAGAAATTCTATTTATAACTGCATATCCGGATTTGGATCAGAGTTCAGAGTAGTTAAACATTTAAAACTGATTGTTCCAGATGTTAGGCTGATCATAATTATACCTATGTGGAACTACTCAACTATGCCATTCTAGGTCTCCAGGACATAAATTGTATCTAGTTTGTATGCTTGACTGAGAACTTCAGTGTTGGAACCTAATAAATATGTATAACAAAAACTGCTCGTAATTATACTAGAACAAGTAATTCTATACCTTACAACTCTTGAGCACATCAATGTAAAGTCAACTAAGACTTAAAAGAACAAATTAACTGCTATTCCTAATGTTCACAGTGCTTTCATATTTAATGCTACTGATTCTCCTTGATTTATTTAAAGGTACTTGCAGCAAAAGAAAATAATCATTCAACTTCTGCTAGCTTAACATAAATAATACCAAATATACAACTGTTTATTAACCACAAAGTAGACTGACTTTGCTATTTTTTAGTTCTCCCCTGTCTTTCTCCTCGTCAACCCCCAAACTTCCTGAATTAGAAACATTACTTGCTGTAAGATCAAAGAACGCCCTACTAATATTAGTATCAGACTAAGTAAAACATGATTAGAAAGGTAAATTCACCCCAAATGTACTCCGAGACTGTGTTTCAATAGGAAATATAAATAATTCTTTCATGAACCACTTTTTTGGACTCTGTGCTCCATTCCAACAGAATAGAGAATTGACTATAGTCACAAAGGGGATATGTTTTATTAATTTAAAGATCAATCATTATTTTGCTCACTTTAGAAATGAATTTTGTTACAGGAAATTAAGTCAATTGCTGCCAAAAAGAATTATAAAACACAATAATTAGTGGAAATCACAGTACTTCAAAGTCACTGGTGAGAGAGAGAGTGTGTGCACTTT